AAAGATAATAGATTTTTATAGATTTTTAGTAGATTGCGAAAAAGAAAATTTTATATATACTAAATTTTATTCAACTTTTTTATAGTTCCGATCATATTAGAACTATTTATTTATTTATTTTTACTATATGCATGATAATTTGGTCAACATATGATGAAAACATCATATAGTACATGAGCTTTGGTGTAAATTTGGCATGGCTGTTACATACAATAACCACCTTTGCATCATATAAAAATGATTGCAACTGCTGGTTGCAACCACCTTTACAACCATTTTGTTTCCTTTTTTGGGTTGCAACTATACATGCTTAATTCAAGTCAATATGATTTACAATGTTTGGATTTTGCTATATTTCTGACACCCAAATCTCTATTTCCAATATATAAAAGTCTTCAAGGAACACTATAAATTCTTTGGTTTTTTAATATAATATTTCATGGGATTTGTTCTATCCATATGTGGAAAAGATGATATTTGTAATACAAAAATATAAGCAAAATTTTTGCCCTGCTGATCTCATTCAAAATTCATGGATCATCTTTTTTGTTAAGAATCTCTTATAAATAAATACCTAAACATACAGGTTATACTCCACAGATTGTTTCCAATAAGATATTTTATATAAATAAAAACATATATATATGAAATAAAAATATTAATAAACATATACCTTTCTTTAGAATCAACCAAAATGATGACCTTGATTGTTTTCAAAAAAAAATTTTTTTAAATTACATCAACAAAAAAAAAATAATAATTCACATCCATTTGTTGTATATATGCAACAAATACACTGTAATAATTAGTTGTTTTTTGTCAATCAAATAATAAACTTTATACAAAATGATCAGAATCAAAAACACAAAAAGAAGACAACAAAATCCCTAACAAAAGGAATGAGTAAGTATTATTATTTTTTATTTATTAAAAAAATAGGATGGATAATGGTAGTTGTGGTCATTGAATAACAACAAAAATAAATATTTTAATTACATGTTGTTTTCTCAAAAAATAAACAAATCAAAAGATCAAACAAGAATCAAACAATTTGTTCAATTGAAAAAACTAAAAATAAGTAAGTACTATTAGAGAAGTTTATGGCTATTCTTGTTTTATTAGAAGAATGATAATTAATATTATATTATATTCTACATTGTTGTCATCCTCCTCCTAATTTTTGTAGTGTCATTGCACAATCTACTATAAAACCTACTATTAGCAAAAATTTTTTAAGTTTACCTAATGAGCTTATTCTCATTATAACATAATTACCCTGGGTAGAAGAATTACAATGAAATTAAATATATTAATGAATAGTGACGCAATTTGGAAAAAAATATTCAATGATGATTAAAGATGGCTTCTCAATTAATTGCAGAATATAAAAATTGAATTGCGACTAATTGTGGTTCCCACCTTTAATGATGATGAATATGTGCTCAATAAACATGATATGACATTGAGTATATACATTAAAAAATACAAAAGTCATTTCATTATGAGAAACTATGATGCAATGGCATCCTTGCCATCAGCAGAGTTACAAAAAAAATTTATTATATGAAAATCATTAGTGTGATTTTTATTTATTTTGTTGTGAATATTACTATTATTTAATTAAGATATTTTTTTTTAAAACAAGTAAAAACAGAAATTAATGAGAATATGATCCAATTTGTTACAAAAAATAGTTATGGAATGACTTACATTGTAGAATAAAGTTTGAATCCAATTTATACTGTGAATAATGTAATCATTTTTATTTGATTTTGTTTAATCGTTTTATTTGTTTATTTAGATCTCATATCTAAAATATTTTTTGTTTAATAATATAAAATAGAAATAAAAGTTAAAAGATTTGTTTCTAATATTTATTCCTAATTAAATATTTGACAAAATTAACAATATTTTCACAACAACAAACCAATATCTTTTTATCAAAAAAAAAAAAATTTATTAATTTAATAGTGGAGGCATTTACAATGTCAAATATTATATTACACCAGCTGAAGATTATTTTGCTCTTTATTTGTAAATTTAGCAGGATAGGTAAGATCTTGGTTAATAAAAAGTATTCATAATTATTGCGAGTGATATAGCAGAAGTGTTCATACTAATTTTCACTGGTTTTTGTTACGGTATTCCCCATATATAAAAAATTTCTCATGCGTAAACATAAATGCAAATAAACGTAATTGTTTTTCAATCAACGTGCATAATAAATTAATTTCGTTAGAATAAATAATAAATAAATAAAATTAAGTTATTGATTTGGGATTACTGGGTTGAACTCTGGACTATAAAATTTCTAGATACTGAGTCGGGTTATTTCTTATTGTTGTCAGAATCAGGCGGGTTCCATGTTTGATATTCATAATCAAAGAATTGTGCAAGGATCCAAAAAATCGAAATTAAAAAAAAAAATATTTATTTATTACCATTCTTAATTAACACAACCATTTAAATAATTAAAAAACCTGTTTCAACCTGTTTTAAAATATTTAAAATTTATGACCTAGGACCACTAATTGCTACTGATTACATAAAAACATTTACCTTGTGTATTATATATATGAGTTGATTCACCATAGTAAATAATAATAAATAATAAATAAGGAAATACTTTATTATGTCACATTTTCATAATTGGCATTCTTTTGAAATCATATTCGCACATTAATTTCCAAGATTTATTAAGCATAGTTTAGGTTAACACCGAGTATTTGTCAAAAAATCATGGAAAAATTATGAACGCATGCACACAAATTCACACACGAAATTCCTATTTATGCACTCTTGCCATATCTCGATAAATAACACGGATAATCGATCATTCATTCATTTATTAGTTAATCAATCAAATATGTTATACGTACATTTCATAAATCGATTACGACTTTCCAGTTTTGTTTATTCGAAAAAAAATTTGGCATTTTTAAATTATCATAAAGTGATTGTAACAAACAAAAAGCCCATTTTTGAATTTCCATTTTAAGACATTATTTATTATTTTTATTATTTTTGTATAGTAGATAAATATTTTCCCATTTTTTCATTTCAATATATATATGCATATAAACGTAGGGTTTACTCAATTTGCATAGTATGTGAATTACATGATTTCATGAATCGATAAATCTCCTATCCATCCAAAGATTTCAAAGGCTATGTAACACTCGATTATTATTTGAACTAACTAAATTCAAGTTTCCGAGAAACGTAGTATAGGGAAATTAAAAACAATTAATGTTTTTTTCAAAAAAACGTTGAAAAAATGCAATTGTCAATGGTAGAAAAAGTTTTTTTTTATATATTGTCGTCATATTATAATAATATTATTACATTCGTTATAACAATACTGACGACAACGATGAATTGAATTACAATCACAAAATCTCCGAAAATGTTACCGATATAATTTAAAAAAAGTATTAAAAAAAAATTGCAACGTTGACACAACATATATTAGATAAGCGATTGTTTCCAATTTCAAACAATAAAAGCATTGATAATTAAAAAAACGCCAAATTTATTTTTAAAAACAAAATAGAACATGGTTTAGTAATTTATAATCAATTTAAAAAAACCAAATGGAATTTTTAAAATAAAATAAATGTGATGATAGATTGATTGTAAATGCGCACATTATAAATAATGAGAAAAAATTAATGGGGAAAAAAAAAATATCGACAAAGAATAAAAATTTTCGATGTGAATGTATGTATAAATATTAATGCAATGTGTATAATAATAAATACACGATAAATAAAACATGGGCGTCTTTTCCATGAATAATTTCGTGCACATATTCACGTACCAAAAATTTTTTTGTTGATCTATAACAGATTACAATGTCGATTAATAATATGATGACGACGATATTACGTGTAAATGCTCTACATTTAATGCACTATAATATAATGGCAGTGATAGACCATTCCAATTACCAATTTCCGCTAAACTCTTGGTTATTCGGTCACTAATAATGTTAAAAAATAAAATCATCATAATCGTCATCATCAACATTATTATTTATTATATAATATATATATATATATATAAAAAAATTTCAAAATGTTTAATTGATAAAATGTTTAATAAAAAAAATTTTTTTTTATTAAATTGTTGAACTATATTAATAATAATATATATATGTAGCATATATATATATATGCACTATAAATATTACGTATTTCTTCTATTAATTATTTTTTGACCTTTTAACAAAAAAAATATCAAACTATAACAACAATCAAAGATACGAAATAAGTTTTTTTATTTTTTCACGTTTTTAATTGATAACCTTTTTTGTAAATAAATTTAATTGCATACACATTAATAAGCTCTATTTAACGAAGTAATTCTCATCAAAGAAATAATTTCAATTTATTTATTTTTCAAAAAAAAATTTATATTTTTTTTTTCAGAAAAATAGGTTTATACGATTTTTTTTATATTAAATATAAATTGGGTAAAATCCGATTTATCATTTTTTAATGATTCAGATTATTTATTTTCTTTAAAAAAAAAAAAAAAATCATAAACAAAAAAAATTTTGTTACGATCAAACTCTAAGGTTCTAAATCCTTTTTCCTATCATTTATTATTCTTTTCTTTGGATCACATAAATAACAAATAAATTAATAAATCGACAGTTCTTTTAAAAATGGCAAATAATGTTCCTAAAAGATTTTTACCACCAATAACAGCTCTTGAAATTCCACATTCTAATTCTACACTAACTTCACACTCACATCATGCATTACCGTCATTGCCGTCACCGCCACTGCCGTTTACTCCTCACCATCAACGTCATCATTCAACTATTTTACCTCCATTTACTTCTTTAATGACGCCCAGATTAAATACTTCATTGTCTCCAACATCTCCATCTTCTTCTTCTTCTTTATTGTTTTCATCGTCAGAGTCGTCACCATCATTATCGTCACAACATCTACTGAAAAATAATAATACTACTACAATACCTACCTCAAAAAATGGTTGCTATCACTATCATTCAGAAACAATTCCTCCCTCTTCTTATTATCATAGTGACAACAACAGCGGCAGCAGCAGCAACAGCAACAACAATAATAACATCGATCATCATCAATCAATGCAAATTGATTATTCATATCATCATCAGCGTCCACCACCTCAGACTCCACAGTCACCATCGCATTATCATCACCATAATCAACATAATGTATCGCAACTTCATCAAGCACCATTATCACCATTATCACCAATGATTAATACTAACAACAATAATGTTTCTCCGTTGCATTATCATCCATATGCAGCTACTTACAATAATAATAATCATAATAATCATCATCATTATCATTCGTCATCAGCAGCGGTAGGAGATGGTGGAGGTGGTGGATCGATTCCGCAACCATCACTATCACAACAACAAATGATGATGATGATGGATCCAGCATGTGAATTGTTGGCAGAGAAAAGACGTAGAAACGCTGGTGCATCTGCTAGATTCCGTGATCGTCGTAAGCAACGTGAACGTGAAATGCAAGAAAAATGTCAATTTTTGGAGAAGCGTGTGCAGGAACTGGAAAATATGGATAATGCCAAACGAATTGTTGAATTGGAAAAAAGTTTGGGGGAAGCGATCAATGAAAAAGAATCTGATAAATCAAGAATCCGGGAACTAGAAAAAGAGGTAATTATTTATGATCACGCGATTGTTGTTATTTTTAAAACCATATGTAAAATATATAAAATATATAAATTAATATTAATATTATTAATTAATTTGTGATATTAGGTTGAAAGACTTTCTTCAAAATTGTGTGATAGTAGTGAATACGTTGAATCTCTTACACCACCATGTTCATCTTCTGGTGATTATGATTCAAAAGATAGCGTATTTGAGGAATCAATGATTGCAGCAGTGACTAAAAAAACATCATCAGAAGCTTCCACAACAAATTCTTTACCTACTCCAACTACTCCAGAAACTGGCCCACCTATTCCAACAACAAAACCAGCGAGGATAACAAATTTCAACTGAACATACATTTCAATTCTCATGATTTATAAATTTATTTTATTAATTAGTAACATAATTAGTAATCTTATTTTTTCCTTAAAGAGAGAATATATATATATATATATATATAAATATATTATTATACAATATTTTTTTATAAGGTATATATATATATATCTTTTTTTTCATCTCTTTTTTTCTTTATTATTTTTTTTTTTTTTTTTAAAAATTTTAAAAATTGGAAATTTATACAAATAATAATTATCTAATAAGGAATACACGCATTAACCTACGATAAATTATATAGTTTAAAGTTTGGTTGTTGGTTAGTAATAACCAATATATTATAAATTATATGATTTTATACTTTATTTTTTTTTTAAATATATGTTAATTAATAGTAGTAATAATAATATATGACTTTATGATAGTAATTGATTTTATTTTAATTAAGGTTTTATTAAATAAATAATAAAATTAATGTTTTTTTTTACATTATATGAGTATTATGAATTCTGTAAAATCACTAAACCATGTTTTTTTTTTTTTTTATGTTCAAATGAAAGGTTGATAAAGAAATCAAATCATTGTTTTTAATAAGTGGAACATCATATAATCATATAATGAATGATCAGTTATCTCCCTGACCAGGATAGACTCCCATAAGATCTTTTTGATATTGAGAGTGCTTTGAATATCAAGCATAAATTGACTGGTGTCGTCGATAGATACAAATTTTTTGAGAAGGGCGGGTAAAAATTTGGATGCTTATTTTATAGAGAAAAGACACACAGAAATGTATTAGTATTGTTATTGGTGTTAGTATTAGTATTAGTATTAATAACGTATGGAAATCACTCTGGAAACATACTAATACTAATGCGGGAATTGCGAAAAATGTAATTCCGTTTTTCAGTATTATTAGTATTAGTATGTTTTCAATGGAGAATGTATATTAATACATGTTTTACTATAGATTTTTTGTATTAATTAGTATATTTTCAGTATAAAAATGCACGGGAAGGCGCTTTGTACAGGAATGTTCCAACACGTACATTTCTGTTTGGTAGATCAGGGCCTTTTGCCTGGATACGGCATGGAGCGAAAGGTATACCAATCAGGTTTTTTTTGTAAAATGACCGCTATATGCTTTTTAAAAGTTTAAGCGTGTACAACACACATTTAAAAATGGTTAATTGGTTAATCTATCTGCACATATTATTTACCTGTCATAAAATTTCTCCCTAATACACACAGCAATCAATTGTTTAAAGTACTCGATAACATAAATAAATGTCCGACTTACCAAGTTTATATGTGTTTACGGGGGCATTTCAATAGAAAGGGAGGGACCATACTCTAAAAAATGATGTCATGAGAATTAAAAATTAAAAAAATTTTTTGCAAATAGAGTTTCTAACTGTAATCCATGAATTTCAAATATGTTGAATTGAAATTATTTCAAATACCAAAACACTTGTTTATTTCGAATATCCAAACACTTGTATATTGATTTCAAACACTTGTGTTTATTTCAAATATTCATTAATTAACAATTATAGTATACCTACTAAATTATATTTACTATAAAAGAAAAAAAATCATATTCCATTTGGTTATGAGAAGACACTCTTATTTGAACTTGATATGTTCTTATACTTCCATCGTCACTGAATGAAGCTCTTACAAGCCACCTTTTTTTCTTATCATGGGGTTTTTTGGCTGGTGGTTGTTGATGAATTATTTGGTGGTAATGGCAAAATAGATAAAAAAAGGCTCCAATTGGTTGTTAGATATCCTGCATATTCTTCATAAACATGAGTTGGCTCATCTTCTAATGTCAAATTGGTTAAACCACTCATATTTGAAAATTAAGTAATTAAAATTATTTATCAAATATTTGTTAATTACCACAAATTATTGTTAATATTCAAAATAAATTCAAGTATCTGAAATAATTACGAATATATGAATATCTGAAATAGTTACAAAATAAACTGTATATATTCAAAAATATCCTTTCCATTTCAAAGGTTGTACAAATTAAATATTTAATAACTAATTTTTTAGTTTTTGTATTTATTCGGAATTATCGGACATTATCCGAACATCATTCATGTGACTGATATTCGAATATAGTGTATATAAATCATCTAAAGACATCACGTCTACGCCACTTGCCGAAGAATTATATGCCGATCATTCTTTATAAAGAATTCAATATATACAGTGTATCTCGATTTAGCGGATAAAATTTCAAAACACAATTCATCTATAATTGTTTTATCTTGATTTAACGGATTTTTCATATATATTCGATTTAGCGGATTTTGTTTTTAAAATCTATATGTTCGACCATAATAAAAATATCTCGATACAACGGATAATGTCGATCATTAACTAATACAGGCACTATAGATGGACGTCTAAATTGTTTTTGGGTTGTCTAAAGTCAAAATAGTGTTTAGACAAAAATGGGAGTTGGACTACGGTGCAGATCATCTATAATCATTAATTGCTTATAGTAACAATTGGTCAACTTCAAAATACTAAAACAAAAAA